TCACAGTAGACATGAAGAAAAGTTCATTCTCTTCTTTTAAACTACACAGCTTTATATACTTGAAACACCATTATCATGTCTCCTGCTAGTCCTTAGTTTTCCAAGCTACACCATTTTCTTCAGCCTTTCCTCTTACTTTATTTTTAGACCTCCAATCATGTTCATTTTCTTGGTATTCAGTAGTAATACGTTCCATAAATTTCTGTTGGGATGTCTGGAAAAGGCCTGCTTATTTGGCTCCACAGACTAATGAAAATATTTGTGCCTTCTATCAACTAAACGTTTGCTCACATGGAGTGGAATTTGTCTTACATTGCTGCAAAGAGAGTTCACTGTGATGAAGACATACAGGGAGATCCAACGCGGAATGACCGCAGCCGTTCTCAGCACTTCTGCTCAAAACAAATGTAAATGATGCCTGTGCAGTGTTCCATGGCAAACTCATTAAGAAACAGCGTTACTGGAAAGAATCTCCACTCTGAGAAATGTGTGTGTATCTGAGTCAGAATTTGGCAGTAAAACCACTAGCACAGATAGGGGTTTTTTAAAGTACACGTTTTTAAGATGACACTAAAATGTCATTGTAAAAATGCTTGTAATGCTGAATATATGATCATCTTACCTCATACAGTTATTTCCTAATTACTATAGAGCTGAATTCACATCATGTAGAGGCTGGGAAAGACTACATATTCCAGGCAAGACCCACTTATTTTTCAGTGTAGGATCCTATTTCAGAAAACTTGGATTCAAAGCAAGGCCAAACACACAAGTTGCTTCAGAGTGGTCTGCGTTTTGATCAATATTACATGAATAATTTTCTTTCAAACAAGTAGCATCCAAGAAGAATCACATTAAAATAGTAATAGCTAATCCAACAGATTTGAAAATATCACAACGAATCTTACATCCACCTGAAAACATGAATTATTTTATCACTAAATAAGTAAAGGCCTCCCTTCTCAGATGGATGTGTTAATTATAACTCCTGACATCAAGCTCAAATTGTATTTTAGGCAATATATAAAGCATGCATGGAGGATTTGTTTTGCTCCACTTTATGGAAATAACATGCATATTAATTACAAAACCTACTACAATGCCACAGAATTGTCCATTTATGTTCAATGTTATATTTGAAAAGTAGTTTTATTTTGAGAGGTCAAAAGGTACATAAACTTCACACAAGCATTTTGCTACTCCGCAGTTTCTTTCTTTTGTAGCCATTGAATCACGTTCTGCACAGTGAGCAGTTCTTACATACCCCTACAGATACTGAGTCCCTCTTCATGGAGCCCAACCAGATCTCCACAAAATGGCATCAAGGAGCTTTCTTGTTCATTCATGTGTCCAACTGACCGCAATTTCCATCCTTTATAACTGTAATAGGCCCTATCCCATCAGCTCTGCCACAGACTTTCTGCCTGGCGATGGACCAATCACACGAAAAGTTTCAAGAAGCAATTTGTGTAATCCATGACCATGTTAGACAACTAAATTGCAGACCTGAACCTCCTACCTCAGATGTAGCCATATCCCAGAGACGTTTAGGGTTTAGTTTTCAACCAATTGCTCTTTGTGCCCAGAAGTTCCTTTTTGAAAGAATTTGGTATATCTATTTGCTCAGTAAAACATGAAAATGAAACTTCCCTTTATCTGTACTCAGGAGCTTGACCCAGTATACTTGCTCTAGGGGAAAAAAAAAAACTATTGCACAGCTTTTTGGCAAGATTTTCTACAAAGTTTAAACAGTGGCACTGTTTCTAGCTGAATGCACAGTATCCACCAACACAGCTGGCGAAAACACCAGCTTTCTCAGGGAGTTATGTTTTCGAAGACAAATGTGATCCCCTACTCTCTGTGAAACTCTCTTAACCACTAGAGAACCAGAAAGTCAAACAGAACAGTGTTACTGCAGCATTCTGACTCCAGACCAGCAGCCACATCACACAAGCTGTACTGATAAAGCAAACCATGGGAAATAACCAATATGTAAAGCCTCCCAGGCATTTCTAGAGGGTCTTTAAAGTATAAACTCCTGCGTTAAGTAGAATCAGAACTTCTGCCTCCTATCTCTTAAATCAGAATGATAGCACTTTGCTATCTCATGAGGACGATATGAAGATAAACACCTGCTTATCCCGGTCTTCAGAGTAATGGGAGATGGACGAGTTCCTCAGTTAAAACAAGAACACTAACAGTTCCTTTGCCTAGTGGTATTTTGATAGACATAACGAATGCTGTTGTATCTAGAAACTTCAAGGGATGCAAATAAGTATTAATAATCAAGTCTGAATCTTTTGGGAAATGATATTACAGATGCCTAAAACACTTCTTCACAGTTTGAAAAGCTGAGAAGTTGCATGTGGACGGTTCTGGCAGAAACAATCCTGCTCATTACCTGACTTCCTCTCATCTAATGTGTACTCAGAGCACATCTTCCTGTGCAGCTGGAGGTTTGTTACAGACAGAAGGATGCTGCTTAGTGTAGCCAGTATTTATTGCCTAACTTACTTTTTTTTTATAAAAAAAGATGAATTTGGAATATTTCCCAGAGAATACATCTGCCCCTATTACCTGCACCTCAGAGTGTAAGACCAGCCAGAAAGGTAGTGAGGACAACTGCATTTAGTAGCAATGAATAAACTGATCTATCTTTTTCTGGATTAGCAGTGGGAGATCCCAGACACACTAAGAAGTATCTGTCTGCTGACTAACATACACAAACTGGCACACTTTTGTGTCAAAAATGTACACAGCTGCATGCACACTAAAGCCGTTCCATCTATAAAGCACATTTGCCACCTGCTTGTCTTCAGGGATGGGTAATAAGAAAGGGTCTCTAACAATAAAACAAGTGCAGAGTACGGTTAAAGAACATTTTTCATTGCCTTAAGTGTCTGTCTTTCTAAACTCTCCTGGATTTGCTACAATTTTCCCTCCGTCATGATTTGAAGAAGGACTGATGATCTACTTAGAAAACCCAGATTTATATTTCTCAGAAACTTTATTGAGTTTCCAAGTACCCAAATTACATATGTTTCAGTACCATAGCAGGTGGATTTAACCTGTCAGTCATTACCAGCAGATGTCTGGATAAATTGCCTAGTGTGTTTTGGTTCCAGCTCATCTCCAAATATCCAGACTAAGAGATGGTCAAAAAGAATGAAAAAAACGCAAAGCAGTAATAGGTTTATACTTACCCACGTGGCTTTATCATCCATCAGGTTCCGGTATGAAGGGAGCTTTATTTTAACATCTTCTGCCAACCCCTCTCAGGATGACCTCACCTATCTCAAATAAAATTTATCCAAAGCCTCAGTCTCAGCTTATGAAGCATAACTAAACCTCAGACTGAACAGGCACTCGGGTAGATGAATGTTGGGCTAGCTTGGTTACAAACACACCGGAACGTTAACAATCCCAGTAGTGCCCTCCTCTCCAACACTCTTAGACACTTATTATGAGAAGCAGGAAATTTAATGATACTCATAATTCTTTACCTGCCTGATTAAAGTATTTAACTATACCACAGTGATGGAGCTGAATGGAGCTAAAGTGAGAACTGCAGCTCACAATTCCTTTGGTGTTCAGATCATCACAGCTGACAACAGAAGAAACACCAGGATTTTTTTTACTAAATATACAGTAAAGGGTGCAAAACTCTGATGCCAGGAAAACCATCAAACAGTTTGGATGAGGAAAGGAGCCCAATAGCTTTTCCTACAGATTCCTGCACAGACACAGGTTTTTGCAAGTCAACATGGTGTCAATATTTAACTAACACATTATCACTTGTTACTATTTGACTAGCAGTCAAGTAAGCACCTAGCAAGAAAAAAATGGAAGCAATCTTGTACTATGTTTTTTTAAATCAGATTCACTGAATGATCTTATGCAAGAAGGTGATTTTTTTTTTTTGTTTTAAACAAAAACTGAATTTGCACACATATTTACGAATACCAAGATATCTGTGATCACATAGTCTGGCCAAAAATACCTGTGATGACCCTGAAGACAAGGGATGTCAGCTGAGTGCATTTCAAATCTCCAGCGTTCTTCTGCACGCCTACAATGCTGCATGGGTTTTGCAGCCCTTATCTGTCTTAACAAGCAAGGCTTAGAACCAGGTTAAGCTGTATCACACTGCGGCGTGGCCTTCACACCATGGGCATGCCATCTAATGCTTGCTCTCTCTGTTGCCTATACTTGTTTAGGATTTCACCTTGATTTTGTTTTTCTTTTAACCTTCTGCTCTGCTATTTCTTCTTTCAAACACTCATACTTCATGCACACCAATGCAGTATTTCACTTACAGAAGTCTTCATCTCAAACATGCAACCAGGTTCATTTTCTCAAAAAACATACTGTCTATATCTTTGTCATATCCCAGAAGTGAAGTCGTCAACAAATGATGAGAATCACAAAACAGGACAATCATTTTGCTTTGATCTGAAAAACTCCCACCTCCAAATTAACTAACTAATCGAAAGAGAGAGGAGATACTACACAAAGACCCAGAAACAACAGACTTATATCAGACTGGCAGGCTTTTTCTTTTCCTTGACAAAACAAACAGGACCACAATGAAAATGTTCTGAACGTGGAAGAGAGTGCTTTTTGAGTGTATACAACCTCAGGAATCCTCAAAATGATACCAAAGAAAACATGCCTTGGTATTCACAGCAAATTAATTGAAAAGTTGTTATCCCGGAAGAATTAATAAAATCCATCTCGTATTTAAGAGTCAAGTACGCAGCAACATTCACCATCATGTACATCTCTATGTCCAAAGGCAAGGGAATACAAATCCCACATGTCCAATAACATTTTCCACAGGCTTTTTATGTGAGAATCAAAATAGCCCATACATTACCAACAATCACATGCTCATAAATTATAAACTACTGATTTTACCATGAACATTCTATAGAAGATAAATGGTAATACAAATGCAGAGTACAACTGGTCTGTTTTGTAAGTAATTTAAACTCACATACCTGTAAAGTAAGTATTGGCAGGGAGAGTGGAACTGGCAAATCTGTAATATCCATTTCCTGGGAAACGGATCCCTTTCACTACTTCTACATTCCATGTAGCTAAAGACGCATCCATCCTTTCCACCTGGTAGACAGGAGAAGGCCCGTTAAGTTCTTCAGGTTCATTCCAGTTTATCTTCACCGTTGTGCTGTTTATTCCTTCAACATGAGGGGCACTTAGTTTTCTTGGAGCTGTGCATAAAAAACCCAAAGTTATCTAGGTATCATTGTCCAGAATACTTGGAAGATTATTTATTCGCATAATTTTTGCAAAACATCCAGCTTCAGTTGCTGACCATCTGAAGAATAAAGGCAGATATCCACTTGAATCTTAATCAGGGGGAAAACAAAACAAATCCCCAAACACTCCTAATCTTTCTAAGAATTTACTTGTAATTCCACAAGAAATACCTTATTTGTTTCTTTAGGCTCTGGATAAAGGTCTCTAATATTATATCCAAAATACTTTTTTTCATAATCTTTAAGAATCTGAATCACCAGCTTCACAAAAAGTATATTCCTTCCTTGCTTAGCCGCTCATGTCATATTCACTGTAAGCATGTATCTGTATGACTTTCAGCAGTGGATTTGAATGAAAGACCAAAGGCGAATCTGAACAGTTAATTAACTCTTGTTATATCTCAGCAGTAAGGTACATGACAGCAGAAGTTTTCCATCACTGAACTCATCCTCATCAACAGAAGCAGAACAGCTATCTGTCCACAATACTGGATGCCCACCAGCTTGCTTTCCTCATGGTGCGCACACAAGGCATTAGCATATGTTCAGATAATTATTCAGTCCAAGAAAAACAGACACCTCTAACTTCTCTCCATCAACACTGCTGCATAGTAAGACTCCATACAAGGTTGCTTCCACAAAGGTATCAGCACTGATAGTTTTATGTTATTACAATGAAACTCCCACCATCAAAACCAACACTGACGTTCTTTTAGACATTGTGACGGCCTTGGTCAAGCTATAGCTGAGTTCTGAACACAAGTTGATTTAAAATACCATGCAGTAAACCACAAGAGGGCAGCATGACTTGTTTGGGTAATGGCATGATGGCCATACAGGTGGGAAAGAAATGGACCATCACTGAAACAAGAGATGTTACCTGCTGAAGTACAAGAACACTTTACTACCTATAGAATCTATCTCCATCTTATTCTACTTTTTTTTCTTCCCCTAATAAAGAGAAGGATTTAACAACAAAAACTTTGTTTGTTCCCAGGAAGTGAAACACGACAACTTTTAGAAATTACTTGTTCCCATAATGACACAGCAAAGAGCAATAAATGCCTTTCTACAATAATAAAACCTCTATTAAAATATAGGCCTTCAAAATCTGACACGTTACTTCATAGCACAGCATTGCACATGCGAATTCCTTAGAGAAGGAGAAATTGCTTCACCTAAAATGAAGAAGAACGCATTTTTAAACATTTGTGCATCTCCAAGATCATTCACATGGTTTTATTTTTCACTATTTGCCTGTAGCATGTTACTGCTCTTTTTCTTTTCTTTTTCCTTTCTCTTCCTTTTTCTTGCCCCTTCCTAGCTTGATAAATACGCTCCTTGTAGAAAGCAGGGAGAGGGAGGACTGGGAAACTGCCAATGGCACAAATGTGCTGTAAATTCCTGCTTAAGCATCATTTATGACTTCACAATCTAATCAGTATCTCACGCTATGGTAGAAATTTACAATGTCAAAATTGAAGTAATGCAACATGAGGTCATAAGCTTTCCTGCATGCATAGAGCACAGCGCTAATGAAATGTGGTATTACTGCACATTTTAAATAGAAAACATGGCTTAACAATCAAAACTTCACCTTTGAGGGAACTAGCATAATCAGCATTTTAAATGCAAACAGAAGAGGTTGAGCCCCCCAGCTTACCACCGGTAAAACAGAAATGTTAAAATTTATTAGTTCTGAAAGGCATACAGCTAACTAACACTGATGACAATAACTATATCTTCCTTTAAAGTTTAGTATTAATAAATGGCAGTTACTTGGACCATAATTATGGCATCTCTGATACCCAAATCTGAAGCTTTTATGGGGCTTACGCAATTAACTACTTAAATGCATCGTAACACTTGCTTCTCTGACAGGGACATATTGATTTTTTAATCATTTTCAAGTCTCCTCTAGCACAAATAAATGTACTACAGTTACTGTTAATGCACTGTGTATACGCATTAAACACTGGCATGACACAATTTATTATTTTGTGATATATGGAACAGAAGCCTACCCTTTCAGAAAGTAACATCCTTGCTGTAACAGTAGTATTTAAACTACAGTCTCGTTGATGATTGAAAATTCTAGCTGAAACAGTAGAAAACCATGTGTAATAGGTTGCATAAGTAAAAAAGAAAACAAAACTGAAAACCAAACTCTGCACAGGAATAGACAGGATTGAAAATAAATCTGTGGTATCAGCCCAGCAGGGTACTAAATGCTGAAATGAAGAATATTCAAGACTAAAAGATACAGTATATATTTTCCTAAAGGTGTCACTGTGGTACCTGTAGCTACTTTCCGAACAAGGAATCAACTATAATTTTATCTATTTCATTTTTTTTTAGTCACGTTCTGTTAAGACACATCTGTCAAAATAATGAGCATACTACATTTTAGTGAATTCAAAGTCACATTTTGTGTATTTTAATTATGTAGTTTTAATGTCTTGCTATATAATACATATTTAATATATTATAAAGCTAAAACAGTATTTAAAAGCGCATGATTGCTGCATGCCATTGTGTAGCAGAGGGCACAAAAAAAGACCAATAAAGACAGATGGTCCATACAGCTTATGCTGAAGTCATATATCTAAATATAGATGTTGCTACACAGGTCATTACAAATAAGCCTTTCCCATGTGTTTATGCACACACATGTACACAGAAATGAAGTTGGTAAGTAAAGAGCAGTTAATTTTGTTTTGTTTGAAATAATATCATTTTAGTTTTAGGCTCGAAGACAGATGCCAGCATTTCACTCTGAACAGATGGTAATTCCATCTAATAGTGCATCTCTGTATTAGTAAGGTCTGTTGTGTATACAAACAGTAATAAACACTAGGTAAGGATCAAAATAAATTTTAATTGTTGACATTAAATTCTGGCAGGCGCAGTTCTAAGGATACAATGCTCCTTTCTCAAGTCTGTCAGGTTTACTAATACAACTGCTAAAGCTTTTCCATACTCTGCCAGATTCTTGTCCCAGGAATAACATATTTACACTGTGGCTAAATTTAACATGCTTACATATGTTTGAATAACTACTGCTCAGCCTACTATAGGTAGGTATTTGTCTAGCCTTCCACAGAAGCCTTCAACAATTAGCCATTCTGAATAGTTCGGAAGCTAACAGTAACAAAAAGTATACAGTTCATTATCATCCAGTCAAATTCAAAATGCATATGTACAAATTAAAACGGAAGGATTGGCAAATTCGAGAACAAAACTTAACTTTTTCACATCTTGGAGTTTACCCTGCAGGTAAATATCATGCCTCACTATTGGTCATCCGTTCCTTTTTTGCTAAAGTTACTAATGCAAAGGACCATGAGATTGCTATAGAATTTCTGGTGTGATCTTTTCTTTCTCTGCACTTCACTGTATTACCAGTCATTTCAACAGTAAATGAGTCAAGAAATAAAGTCTTCTGACAATATTTTGCTTTTCTAGAAGGCCCTTCAGAGTCCATTTCGGACTCTTCCCCAAGAAAGAAATAAAGCCACCCATAACGGGTATCAAAAGAAAATTCAGTAACGTGGCTGTGTTACAATCATATTTCTTTAAAAATAGATGTAATACACAGTATTTTTTAAAAATCATGAAAAATATATTGCTTCCACCATATGGGACAACCAACGACTCACCAACCGATTTAAGATGCAGCATATTGAGCTGACCATATGTTACAGTGCTGTTGAATGGCTGAGTGATTCATGCCCGTCACATTCTAGTATATCAATTAAAGCTCCTTGAAGTCTGCATGATTTGTGTCTCTGTTATTAAACCCTGCTAATTCATCCCACTTACACATCTGTTATAAATCTCTAGGAGTGCTGCATGATTCATGGCAATCTGTGAGCATGGTACAGCAAATTCTTCTCCTTGTAATTAACAGTAAATTGTTTTACTGCCATGCAATGAATTTTTCAGTTATATTGCAAATGAACTCCTAAATGCACGATTCTTTCTGAAGAACTGACTTATATTATTAGGCAATTAAAAAGCATTGCTTTGAACCAAAAGCTTTTAATCAAGAGGAATGCAACTTAAACATAGCTTAAAAACCTTGCAAATTTGACACAGAGGGAAAAGAACAAACTGAGCTATTTTCTGAAGAATAGTATGTGGTTGGTAGGGGGAGAAGAAACAAATAACTTTTGAGTCCCTACTAATTTCCTGAAACTCAAAGAGCAGTTTAAGTACAGCTTGAACACTTGGCAAGACAAGTTTAAGCAGATACTACTTATCTCAGAAGTTACTTAAGTCATCTGTCATTATGAAATTTCTCAGATTACTTTACACTTTTCTAATTGTAAAACAGCGTCTTTATTCTGGAAATAAATAATTGGATAATTAGCCAAGCTGAATCATCAGAGGATTCCAATGCTGCTCAAGTGTTCTTGTCAAAGGTGAAGCAAATTCATTTCAGCTTTGCCTCTGCAGCTCTCTGAAGAAGCTTTGATTTTTTTCCCTGCTACATTCTTGGCAGCAGCCTCAAATTCATGAGTCCATACATCAAGTCAGTAGTTTAACAACAAATGAAATTAAATTCAAAGAAGGGAAACTAATTGAAGGACAGCAACAAAAGTGTTTGGTAATGTGCTTTTTAATATGGCATGCCACATTTGCATGATAATTTTTCCTTTTTAGCATGGAGCAGAAAGTGACTAGCTTAATGAGGGATTATTCAAGACAGGAATGAACAAAATGCATTCATAACTAAGAACAAAGATTGTATTATGAAACGGAAACAGGCAACTGCCGAGAAGTAACTGGATGATTGGTTTATGCATTATGAATAAAAAGGTAGAAAAATATTTATATTAGTATTCACTAATGACTATATATATACAAGATTGTTGTAATTAAAATTATAAATTAACATATTAAGAGTGCTTGTTTAATCACTTTGGGTCTTATTCACAATGAAGAGACTTATGTACATGCATGCAAAACAATCTGTGTTTCCAGGCCAGCAGCAAATGGCCCTCGTATTTCTCTCCTGTAACAAAAGAAAATATACACTACTTCCTACCTGTTTAATGGGTATTTGAGGTTTTAAAATTGAAACATAGCATTTTGTAGAAAAGCAGTCTATGACAGACTTCAACAAATGCTGTATTGCCATGACAAACGGGTTGAGGCTTTTGAAAAAGGCTTGCACTGGGCCTTATTTATGAATGGGAAAAAATGGACAAATTACTCAGATTAAAATGGCTAATCAAAAAGAAAATGACAACAAGGAGTGTAAAACAGCCCAGAAAGCCCATCAACATCATTACCCCAGCAAACCCAGAAGCAACTCCAAAGCCACCAATACAACTGCTTGAGAAGTCTGTCAAGAAGCCAGATGCAGCTGGTGATGGAAGAGTATCTTCTACAAATTAGCTTCTGAACCCTGTAATTGCTATCAAAAGCAAAGGATCAGGAATACAATGTGCTGGCGTAAATGGCAGCAATCACAAAGCCATACTTTCCTGTCTTAAAAAATGCTTTTTAAATATAGTTTTAAAAAATTTAGAAGGGAAAATTTACTAATTTACAAGAAATAAGCTCAGTCGCACAGTAGGTAAAGAAACAGAGTTGTACAGATTGTTTAAGGCACCTTTTGACTATTTGGTTTGAGAGGGGTAGTATAAGCAATTGTACTGGTCCAAGCACACACATGGCTAATTCCATCCTGCTGCAATGTCAGAAATTGCTGGAAATAAAACCCACATTTTTCTGCCTGACTGAGGTATCTGGAAAACATGCATGTTTTGTCTTGATAGGTGCTGCAAGGAATAATGCAAGTAATTCATAATTTTAGGCAAACACATTGACACAAAAACATCACTTTTAAGGGACCGGGTCTTTCACTAGTACCAACTAGTATAGTTCTGTAGATCCAAGGTACCAGCTCAGAATCCTACACGAGATAAAACCATGAAGCAAAAAGCACTTTGGAAAATAAAACCAACAGCCTATGGCCTTATTAGAAGGACAGGCTGAATGCCATTCTCAAATACAGGAATTTGAACTCAACAGAACCTGGAGAAAGGAATAAGGTAAAATGTGTTTTAGGTGTTGAGGTGAAAAACATATTTACTGTCCAGTAATGCTTTCAGTTACATACATGCATTTATATTTGATGATCATGGGGTTGTAAAGACAAAAAATCAAGCTCAAACTGGATTTCAAACAAAGTATTAAGAACGAACTTTTTCCTCATCAATAGTATGCACACAATACTGCAGTGCATAAAGAGCATTTAGAATACCACAAGGATTGTGAAATGTACATCCTCTTAATTTAATGTTTAAAAGACTGATCAAAAAATTATGAAACAATTAGTTGAGTCTTTAAAAGACACCTATTTGTGTATTCATATCTGAACATACCAAACTGAGGTCCTCTTTCTGCCCAGTCTCTCTGAGTAACAGAGATGGGTTAATTCTCTTCTTCCATTAGCTTGACATGCTTGCTTTGATCTTTCATGCCAACACTGCATTACCATGTAACATTGATCTCCCAATACTGTTTACCATTCCTGGAAATGGTCACACATCAGGCATACCTATGCAAGTTATTTATCAATCAAACCTGCTGTTTTTCCTGGTTCTTAATAATTTTACTTTGTTTCCTTCTCTCCTTACTGGCTTTATTGTCTTATTTTATTAGCATTTAAAACTACTGTGAGTGTATGTATTGGTGAGGAGGGTTATCCCTGGTATGGATGCCTACACTGGAACAGGTTAGATAGGAGCTAGTTATTATGTTTGCTTCTGGATTATTTTAACCAATTTTAAGTTATAGTCCAAAGCACTTTTCACTGAAAGATCAGCAGACGATTTCTGATGCTTCTGCTCCCTTAGGTCTTATGCTTACATCTGCCACTGACTGCAGAAGTCTCCTTTCTTTGTCTTTTAAATCCTTTCTGAAAACCTCTTACTTTTCTTCCTCAGCATTTTTGTTTGTAATGATTTCACGCCCTTGTTTCTGCCTTTGTTTTTATTTGCTGTGTTATGCTGTATAAAAAACCATCTTGCCAAAGAAAAAGAAGAATGATGTATTTTGAAGAGTATCATTTTTTATAGGTAGTCTTCAGATGAGCCTAATGGATATGAACAAAACTTAAAAATTACTTTGAGTTTTAGTGGCAGATTTTAGAACGCATTTGCAATTCCAACAGCGAGCCCCTTGCTAATATACATCAGTTGGACACGGCAAAATTGCAGTCATTGAGGTACCCATTCATTTAAATGCTCCATGTGATAAATCAGTATACTCCACACAGGGAAGGTGTGGAGATGGTTTTCCATTATCCTCCTCGGGATGAGAGGAAAGAAATTAGTCTAATTTAGTATAACCTTTAGCCCAACTTGGAACACAATTCAAAGCTCCTGGATTGTGTTACGATGCAAGGGGACCATCACGTTGGAGCACAACTCAGTCGAGCCTTCCACCAAAAAGCTCCTTTTGCCAGGGCATGGAGGGGGACTGGCATCCAGCCAGGGAGGCTGTCTCTGTGCCAGGGAGACATTCCTTCATGAAACAGAACTCAACAGTCCTAGAAAGGCAATTTTAATTTCATTTTGTGCCATTTAATGACAAAAAAGGGTATTAATGGACTAAGACTTAATAATCTATTTTTACAAATGACACAAACCTGTTTCTTCTAACTTTGTTCCAAGTTTGAACCCCCTTTGATCTAAAAGTCATCACGTAAGTAGTGTTTCTTTTAAATTGCCTTTGGAATCACAGTTTTACGGAACGTTACGAAATGGAACATGCACACACACACAGAGATGGAAATTATTCAACAGTTTTCTTCAGAAATGGAAAATGTGAATGGTGAAATATAAGGTCGCATGCAAAATTTAAGTGGTTTACTTTTTAGCTTGTCAGAATTCAAGAATTGCATTAATATGCTTTAAAACCATAAAAGGAACCCAATACAGGACTGATTCTTTGTTTTCAAGGCTTACAACAGTAAGCAGAAAAAGGCTACACTGCAGAACAACTAATAAATTGGGCTGTTATTCTATTTTGTATTCTCTTGTCTTCTCTAATGTGATAGGTCTCTAAGTACTAACACAACCAGGGAGGAGATGGTCATAAACAAGCTGTCAAGCATAACTAAGCTATTGTTTCTGAATCTTTTAATACATGTATAAATGCAAAGTTGGATCATTTGTAGTAATAACATGTACGTTTAGGCCATATTTGTTTCCACGGTTATCAGCACAGACTGGAATGCTGTTCCTTGCACAGCTGTGTGGTATGGGATAAAGTCATGCTCATACAAGTAGGAGGCTGTGTAGACTGAAACTTTAAGTAGCAGCAGTATGAGGAAACAAAGTAAGTTTTGAAATCAGCAGTTCAGCAAGAGAGAAGACTGACAGAACAATCTTTGCTCACTGAAACACAAACGCAATATGGTGAATGAAGGAACAAATCACCTATGACAAATGGAAAGGCAGTTAAATAAATAGATGAAGAAGAGAGGACAGACTACAGGTAAGATTCCAATGGCTTAAATATCACTTCAGTTCATGTATGTAAAGCCTCCTATTTACTTGTTTTGGGCAACTCCTCATTCCCTGTATGGAAGCTCCTGCATTTCTTTATTGATTATACAAAGTAGCTTTCATGGAATTCAGACAACTCAAATACAGCCCTGGGAGCCTAGAAAAACATTCTGCACAGAAGAAACTTTCAGATTTTTTTCCTATGGGAGACCAAATTACATAAAAAAGGTAATTTCAAAGATCATCATGACAACATCCATATGACAAGACTGCTAACTGTTTTACTAAAAATGCTAATATTGTGAAAGTAATTAATATGTTTTAAATGCCTATACAAAGGAAACAACAATGTTAAGTCATCAGCTTTCAGCAAGTGACAAAAAGACACATATCCATAACTTGCAATTGAGAGAGCAGTACACAAATCCTGTTCCTATAACAGCATACCTTAAACTTTCATTGAAACCACTTTGGTTTTAACCTGTCAAGATGAATAAATAATAATTAAGCAAGTCACTTTGTATTAATCAAACACCTACCCCTGTCACACGTACCAAACTACGATCATCTTAATGGTATTCATTAGTAAACTGTGTGTCAGTTTTGTGCTTTGGTACAGATTGTTTCCTTACCAGCTGCTAAGGTTTGCCCCATGCCTGGCTCACTGGTTACACAACCAATTTGATTGCAGAGAGTAACAGTAAAGTTGTATGTCCTGTAAGGTTTTAATTCCATCACTACATAGGATAGCTCGTGAGGCTCGGCTATATGCAACACCTACAAAGCAAACAGATCGGAAGCACACAGCT